ATTTTTTTTTTTTTTTTTTTTACTCAAAAACACCATTAAATTTCTCTTACAAACCTAAAAAATAATCCTATCATTGCCAATGAAATTTACAAAATAACGTTAAATTTCTGTTTTTTCTTTTTAATAAAGATTAAGGGTTATAGGATGGAAAGGAATAGGACAACGCCGGCCGAAAACGACACCGTTTCAACGACGCACAGATTAGGGTGCCAGTAGGAGGTGGGTGTGTTCAGTTAAACGCCGTCGTTTGGATGACTTGTACGGAGAAGATATTTTTTTAATTGGAAAAAGAATGGATGCAGATTTGGCAATTGGGCATGGAACCTTGCCGAAACTCCAAGCCATCATCATCATCATCATCACACTATCTCAGATCAGAAGGAAACCAATTTGTTTGAGTTGAAGCCACCGAAAAATCCACCATGGAAACCGAAGCTCAACCCTCGAACCCTCAAAATGATGCAGCTGCCAATGATGCGTTCATCAATTCTTTCATCGAGATCACTTCCTCTTCCAAAGAGGAAGCCCTTTTCTTCTTAGAGAGCCACAATTGGGACCTCGACGCCGCCGTTTCCACCTTCTTGGATAACCATGCCGCCGATGCCGTCGACACCGTCGATGCCACTGCCACTGCCACCGTCACTCGCCCAGTTCCACCGCCCGATTCGCCTGAATTTTCTCCTTCTATGTCGCCATCGCGTTCTCGCTCGCCTTCCCCGCCTGCTTCTCGTGCTCCCTACGAGCTCCGTTCGAGGAGAGCTAGAGGTGAAGCGAAGAAGAAGGTCGACAATAGGGCTTCTGGGAGCAGGACGCATCGCATCCGCACCCTTTCTGACCTTAACCGGCCGGCGGAGGATGACTCGGATAGCGACTCTGATGAGTTTCAAGAGTATTACACTGGTGGTGAGAAGAGGTAGGTTTGATTTTTTATTCATCAAGATTTACTCTAATTTGACTTCTGAGAAAATGTTGGATAATAGAGAGGGGAATGTAAATTTTCCTTTCTTGCTGGTTGCATTAAGCATACGTTTGGAATTTGGATTGAAGGAGCTCATTGGACTCCAGGTTCTGGAATTTTCCAATATGTTTTTTGATTTTTTCTTCGCCTTCTAATATACATGATGGTTGATCTAGCCAGATTTGTTCATGTCATCGATTTCCCGATTCGCAGTGTTCTCTTGGAACATGATTTCGTATCTTCAGTTGCTTACATTTTGGAATAGTTTGTTGA